CAACAAGCAAAATGTTGAGCTTAAGTGTTGTGGATCACAAACTTTGTGAGGAGATAACTCTAAAAATGAAATGTTTGGACATGCACCTATTTTTAAAGCCTCTGGTTCACTTTTACATTTCCAGTGACCACGCACTCTTTCTTCTCTGCCTTTTCAGAAATTAACAGCCACAACAGTAGTGAATCTAGAGCCTGAATTCTGCACAATCATGTATTTTAATTCCTGCCTCAGTTTGCTAATTCCAAAATAAAGTTTGCCTTTAGCTAGTTTTGCCAAGTTCTAAGACCATAAACAAGATTTAAGAATGAATCAGGGAAATCCTTCTGGTGACCAGTGACAGGCCTCAGGGAACAGCTGCAGCTGGCTCAGGGGAGGTTTAGTGCCACCATGATATTTTCTGAAAAACCTTCTTTGCCCAGGATTTTTCTCCTGAGAAGCTAAGAAGCCTCAGAAAAGAAATGAAAACAATAATTATCTGATTGCTTGGAATGTGGTCTGGAGGCTGCTTACCAACAAGTGCATCTTTGATTGGTTCCATGTGAATTGTGTTGACTTAATGACCAATCACAGCCAGCTGTGTTGGGACTCTGGTCAGTCAGGGGTTTTTATTATTCATTCTTTTTACCATTCTGTCTGTATCTTTCCTCTATAGTTTAGTATAGTGGTAGTATAGCATTTTCTTTTAATATAATAAAATAAATCAGCCTTCTGAGAACATGGAGTCAAATTCTCATCTCTCACCTCGTCCTGAGGCCCTCACAACACCACAGTTTAGGTTAGATATTAGGAAAAGGTTCTTCCCCAGAGGGTGCTGGGCACTGCCCAGGCTCCCCAGGGAATGGGCAAAGCCCCAAGGCTGCCAGAGCTCCAGGAGGGTTTGGACAATGCTCCAAGGGATGCACAGAGTGGGACTGTTGGGGGGTCTGGGCAGGGACAGGAGCTGGACTTGGATGGTTCTTGGGGGTCCCCTACAGCTCAGGACATTCTATGATTCTATGAAATACTAAAATAAGAAAGGAAGCTTACAATTTATTTCTTTTTCTTAGCATATGTGAGGATTTTAATGCTTATAATTTCCAGCAAAGAAACAAACTAGTTGATGACACATGGGATTAGGACGTGTGCTGGCACTGGAAGGGTATATTTTTCCCTGTCATTCTCATTAATCACCTTAATTGGGATTTTAAAAATTAAAATATCGATGCTGTTTGTTGGGTTGTTTTAAACCACAGATTTTTATGCTGCCTTTTTCCACATTGGGGTTCTCTTCACATGCCAGTGCTTCACTGCGTATTCCACTGCTCAGAAAATGAGAGGTGAGGAGTCAGGATTTCCAGCAGCTGAGGATGCTGAAGGGTAATTGACATGCAGTCCTTAGATGATGAAAGTCAGTGACTCCCAGTGTGAGACAGTGCCACCAGCTGGGGGCCCTGAGCAGGCTGTGCAGCACATTTGGATGCTACAGAACAGAAATCCATGTTTGCCTTTGATAAGAAATCAGATTAATGCCCAAACTTGGCTTTCACAGCTAAAGAGCTCTAAACCTCTAGCTGTTCATGGCTGCAAGCATACTCAGGGTGTGGGAGAAGGGAAAAGGAAGGATTCCTCCGTGTCTCAAATGTTTATTTTCTGAGGATGACAGCATCAAGATGTCTCAGGCAATTGGTCACAGAAGTAGCGCTGTCATTTCCAAACACATTTCCAAGCACTCCCTGTGAGACACAGCCCTGGGTGCAGGAGAGTTCCAGATAAAAGCTTCTCTTCTACTGCTATTTAGTGAGGGATTTGGATGCACACAATTCACTAGAAGCAAAGAAAGCGGCATTTCCACAATAACAGCTTCAGTATTCCCTTATCCAAATTTAAACTAATCCAAGAGATTGTGGATGAGAGAATAATTGCTCTGTTTTAACAAAGAACAAATCCTTAGGAGTTGCTTTCATTCACTCCAGAATCAGAGAGAGACAGAGCTTTGAAATGCAATTTTAAAGCAGTTTTTCTGCAGCATATTCAGGTTCTATAACTTGAAAAGAGCACAACACTAAACCATTTTGCTCCTAATGATTAGGAGAGATTATGAACACATTTGAATAGGACAAAAATGACTTCATTCTCAACTATTTTCTTCTATAACAGAAGAGCAATTCTTGCTGAAAGCAAATTAGAATGCTAATTCAATTTTATGTAAGCACCAGCTCCATCTCCATGCCACTGTGGAACTGTGCTCTTAGGTGAGTGTTTCTGATTTAGAATCTTACCTTTCTTACCTCAATTTTCTTTGTTTGGCTGCACTATAGAAATACTTTGTTGCATAAAACCTCCTTTGCCATTTTTTAGTGTCTATTACTTCTAAAACAGGAAGCTACAGCATACACATGCAAGAAGAAGTACTATGACTGCCACAAGCAGAATTAAACCCAACTCTTTAACTTAGAAAATAGTTATAAATAAGAGTGAAAAATTACATTATTGAATTTTCTATTGTATTTGCAGGGTGCCCCAATGAAGAAAGGAATGATGAATTTCACTTTATGTTCTTAGAAGGTTAATGGATTATTTTATGATATTATATTGTAATAAAGAATGTTATACTAAACTATATTGAAGAATATAGGAAGGATATTTACACAATGCTAAAAAGATAATATTGAAAACTTTCCAAAGTCTTGACACAGCTTGGCCCTGATTGGCCAAAGAGTGAAAACAACTCACAGCAGAATCCAATGAAACAATCACCTGTGGGTAAACAATCTCCAAACACATTCCACAGGAGCACAACACAGGAGAAGCAAATGAGATAAGAATTGTTTTCCTTTTCTCTGAGGCTTCTCAGCTTCCCAGGAGAAAGATCCTGGGTGAAGGCATTTTTCAGAGAATGTCAATGTCACAATTTTCTTCTGGAATATCCAAATAGAAACAGTCAACTGGACAAGCAGCATGTCATGGGGTATGTATAAAATGAAGACTGAACGCTTGTGATTAAAAGAAACTGGGCTAATTGCTCAGCAGGAAAAAAATTCCTTGTTTGCTGTATGACACCCATGAATTCTTTCCAAAGTTATATTTTCTAAACACTTGTTCTGCTGCTAACCTTGGTTCAACCCTTCCCTCTCACAGCAGCAGGCGGTCCCAAAGCCATCCTTCATAATTAAATTGAACTTGGTTCTCCTTCCCTGAAAACCCTGTCAGCCATCTGCAGCTCTGTGCAAGTTCTCTTCCTTTTCTTCTTTAGCTTTAAGATCCCTGAGTTGGCACCTCTGCCTCTTTCCAGAACCTGTTCCTGCCATGACAGCAGCAAACCTGCTGGTTGTGGGCTGGGTTCTTCCTTTTCCTTCCTCATTAGTGTCAGGAAAATTAATGCACAAACACCAGAGGTTTGTGTCCAAAAAGGAGACAGAGGAGTCCTGTAACTTGGTTCAAATAAAGGGAGAGGCCATGGGGCATTCACGGTTCAAATAAAGGGAGAGGCCATGGGGCATTCACCTGGGGTGTCTCAAATTTTTGGAGGATGCAGCCTCCTTTTTATCCCAATTTCCTGGCCACATTTCCCTTCTCTCTTTCCCCATTGGCTGAGGTACTTGATAGGTTCAGTCCTCCCAATACATCTGATACCAAAGATTTCCCTCTAATGTACCAACCCTCCCTTTTAACTTTTAATTCTTATGGAATTTAGGGTTTTTCTTCCCCATTACTTCTTTCATCTTTCAACGTCAAATTTCATTTATCAGCAAACCTAAAGTTTATTTGTAAAAACAAATATCTCTTTCCATTCATCAATCAGTGGAATCCTTCCCATTGTTTCTTTTATCTCCCAGTAGACCCACAGCTTGTTTCTAAAGACAAATCCACTATTCCTCTCACTAGCATGCCATAACCAGATTTCCCATTTTTCATACTGGCCTGGAAAAATGGCATATTAAAAAGCCCCCACAGCTGCAAAAAAACCATGAAACAGGAAGAAAAGAGTACACATTTTCCTTCCTCCTTTTTACAAATTTCAATTTGTGTAGGAGCACTTCACTGGAAAGATACATGAAACCAATTTCCTGTTTATAGGAGTCTTCATTAAATACATGCATTGAGGTAGAGAGTTCCAATTTTCTACATAATTTGTGTAAAACAGAAAAGCACAGGTTATTTTGGACATTTCCTCACCATAAGGATATTCACTATCTCCTGCCCACACTGCAGTACTTCTCTGAATTCACCCGCCCGCAAGTTGGACTCAGTGATCCTTTGGGTCCCTCCCACCTCGGGAGATGCCATGATTCTGTGCAAATATACATGCTTGAAATTTTCAAATTGCTCTGTTCTATATTAAAGAATAGAGAAAGGATACTTACAGAAGGCTACAAAGAATGATAATGAATCTCGTGACTCTCTCCAGAGTCCAACAAATCCTGACCATGATTGTTCATTAAATCAAAACAATTCATATGAAACCAATCAACCAACCACCTGTCGGGTAAACAATCTCCAAACCACATTCTAAAGCAGCAAAACACAGGAGAAGAAAATGACTTAATATTGTTTTCCTTTTTCTCTGAGGCCTCTCAGCTTCCCAGGAGAAGAATCCTGGGCAAAGAGGATTTTTCAGAAAATATGATGGTGACACAGAAGTTCCCCATATTAGAGATTTCTTTTCCTCTCTCAGTATCACAAATACATTTGATACCAGTCAATCATGTTTTATACAAAACAACCCAGACACAAAACAGATATGCTGTGAAATGAATCTGAATTTTCTTCACAGTAATTACATGAGACATTTAAATCTTTAGACTGTATCCCTTGTTCCACAAGCTTTATGATATTATTAGGTTTAATAAAAACATATCTATCATAAGTACAATTTTGAAGACATCTCTATGCAAATGGATATTTCTCCTTCATTCCCTTCTCCAGAGGTCCCACTATTATTGTTCCTTTAGACATGATATTAAGATAATCAGTGTTTTAGTTTCATAAAACAAAATACATTTTTAAAAAAAATTACTTACCTTTAAAAGAGCCAAAGCCACATGGAAGATTATGTTCATACCCTGAAAATAAGAAGAAAGAGACTTCAATCAGTCCCAGCATACAAACCTCTTTTCATACTTATCATTTTGTGGCATCAAAACTCAACGTCAGTCCCTAGGGAACACTTCCCTTTTCCTGGTACATTTGGAAGTTCCTCATTGAAGCCCCAAGGCAGTTTCCAAACTCCCACTTCTGGGGGAAGATCTCCGCTTTTTGGGGCTTTGGGAACCTTCAGTGAGTGACTCAGGTGCTGTGGATGGGACAGGCTGTCCCTCCCTCTGTTGCAGCGCCTGGCAATGCTGCCTTTCCATGACCAGTGCAGGACACTGGCATCAGAAAAATGCAATAAGTATTCCAGGTGATAGATTTTTTTGTCAAGTAACAAGCTTAGTCATGATTTATCAGGTAAAATCTTGCATACTCAAACTGTAAAAAAAACCCCAAAAAAACCCCCCCAAACACAACCCCACAAGTACACAAGAGACTTTTTTTTACTGTGTTGAGCCAAAAGTCAAAACTATTTCAAGGCCAAACAAGCTGCTGTCTGTATCCAGTAGTTGCTTGCTGCTTTGCAAAAACTGGAAATACAAATGCAGAGAAATGCATTCAGTGAGAAATACAGGGACAACAGGCAGTTATTTGAAGATTAAACAGTCTGCAGCCTACATATGTTGATAATTTAAGATAATAAACAACTTTGTCTTCATCCAAATATGAGAAATACCATATGCAGTTCTTGTTTGCTGTACCATGTACTTCGTGTTCAGACTGTTTTCCTGAATTATTTTTCCAAATCCTCTTGCCTTGTTTAATGGCATTATAAATCTTTTCTAACAATAGCTCCCAGAGCTGGTATCTAGAAACATCTCAACAGATTTGCACACAAGTAATACTGCAATTATATTTTATTGTTGTGGGATAACAACAAGACTTGTGACAAGGAAACGTTCTCCAAGCAATTTCTGCTTCTGGAATTGAATGTGTTTCCAATCCTCTTCCTGAAAACCTGAGACCATGTTTCTATAGAAATTAGCTTTTATGAAAACATGCTGGGACTTTACAGGAGCTTTTTTGGGAATAAAGTTTATTTTTAATGTAGATAGTACAGTGCCTTGCAGGGATTGTACCATTAATGAGTCCTGAAAATGCTGCAACATCAGACATAATGAATATTGCAACACTGAATTACTTTGCAATTCACTGCATTATCACTGATAACAAACTGGGTTTTCCCACTAGAGGTCACAATTGCAGCAGGACTGAATCTTGCTTCATCACTAGGAAACCCTTCTTCCAATTGGGATAACAATTATTTCAAGTTGTTTGGCTTTATGTGCTTCCTTTTAATTGAGGAATGTAGAAAAATAGAAGTCCAGTTGTGAATTTCAGTTGTAACATTGATAATACCAGAGCTCCAGCAGTAGTAAAGTAAGTTCATAGTACTTTGAGGTTTATTTCAAATATTAATCTGAAGTCAAAAGTTAATTCCACACAGTCATGCCATTCACAACTTTTACTTTCTAGCAGAGAGGACTGACAAACACACTCTGTAAATGAGAGGAATATCAACAAGCTATCACAAACATTGCACTTTATTCTTAACAAACTGATCAGATTTTGTTATGATATGAGTAAGACTACTGCATCTAATAGCTGGACTGATGCCTCAGGTTTCAGCTTTTATATTTTTCAGATTCTGTTCTGCTTTAGTGTGTGGGTCTGAGTTTCGCATTATGGGATGGTGAGCTCTCTTCACAGAATAGGGAGACAAAACAATTCCTGTCCTAGCTGAGGACCAAGGACAAATGATCCCAATCTCAGGCCCAAGAGCACAAACAATGTGGACTGCAGAGAGAAAAACAAGAAGGATGGGTCTGCATGGGCTAAAGCTGTAATTAAACAATTAACTCCAATGTGCAAACGGAGCAGAACTTATAAAAGTGAGAGACCCCGTGCCCAGTTGTCCATTTTGTGACCATTTTGGTTCATCTTGGGTGCAGCCCTGGCTGGGCTCTTGTGCTGCCCAAGGTGGATCCATTGAGGTCTTTGAATAAATCCCCACTTTATTCTTTAACTCTGTCCAGCCTCTGTTCTAGGTCAGCCTGCACAAGGCATCAGGACTACTGAGGAATTAGTGCTCTGCGTATTTTCTGGCACAACCATAAAGAAATGTACACCAGTTCTCACTTATTTTCTAAACATTTTTTTTCTGATCTGCCTGAAACTAATGCTGTTTCTGAATTCAAGTGAATAAACTCTCTCCAGGTACTCCTCTTATACCATTACTCCTCACATGGACAGCAACTGCAGCAGAAATAGGTTTTTACCTGCCTTGAGAATCCCCATCTCCTTCTCAAGCCCCACCAGGCAAGGGGCAGCTCACAGACCGGCTCCTGTTACTTGAGGTAACTTGATCAAGGCTCAAGCACCCTAAAATTGCAACATGAAAGGACTTAAAGTATCTCTATCCAACTATCCTGAGCAGCATTCTGCTACTCTCAGCACCAGAAAAACACCTGCAGCTTCCTCTTTCCTCCAAGGCAGAGGGAAGTCCTGAATCAACGCAGCATTTTCAGCTGAGGCATCAATTGCTGCAGTTTCCTGCTGCCCACTGGGGACTTGCAGGGCCAGTTCAGCCAACAGCTGGGTGGACTGGAGCTGGATGTTCCAGATTTCAAAGCAGAGAAAAAACTCACCCCATGTTTGAACAACTCACTGGATAACCACTGATCTGCCTGCTGCAGTTATTTGTCCTAATTCATGCAAGACTCTTCTTCCACAGCCAAGTTTAATGATGATGATTATGAAAAAGAAGGCTCAGCTCATTTTGTCACAATCTCTTATTTAAAACCTTACTTAATTTACCACACAGTGATTTATAAGCTTCAGCTTAAGCTTTTTCAGCTATTTTAGAAGAAAGACCAAAAATACCAAAGTGCACCAGACATATAAATCATTGGTAGCAATATCCCTCCAGCAGTTTGATAATGGAAACATGGAAGTCCATACAAATCATCCATGAGGGGGAAAGAGAAAGGAGCCCATATGAAATGAGCTTTTGGCAATTACTTTTTAAATCCAAAGGTCATATGCTTAACTAGGCATTTTGAAATAAGTGCTGTATGTCTTGGGGATGGCTTTTATCCCATATCTGGGGTGGGGTTTTTTTGATTTTTTTTTGGTTTTTGTTTTTTTTTGGTTGGTGTTTTGTTTTGTTTTTTGGTGGGTTTTTTGGTTGGTCGGTTTGTTTTGTTTTTTGGGTTTTTTAAATTTTTGGGGGGTGTTGTTTGTTTTGTGTTTGTGGTTTTTTTGGGTTTTTTTTGTTTTGTTTTTTTTTTTGTTTTGGTTTGTTTTTTTGTTTTGTTTTGTGTCCAGAATGGTGACTGCCTCTTTCAAACCACAGCACTATAATACCATGCAGATCTTATCTTGAGATTTCAAAGATTTGCATGTGTGAAAGTTGTTCATAATTACCTTAACACTATTTTTAACAAAGAACAGCCAAGAGTAAAATTTTACACTTATAAACAAGAACTTGTAAGAGCACAGGAATGGTGAGGGGCTTGTCATCATGTCCTGTCACAGAATCAAGTGTTATTTAATGACCTTCTGAAGTTTGTGTAGAGGTCTTGAGAACTTGAAGAGAGCTCATGAAACTCAGGAGTTTTGGAGAAGGAACAAACCCAAGCCAGAGAAATGAAAGGGGAAGGGGAAGGATGTTGGAGTTTGTATCATATTTCAGCCCCCTTACAGCTCCTGCTGACTGCCACACTGACCATCCTCTGCTTTACAGACACACTCTGCTTTACAGACACACTTACTCCAGAATAAAGAGCATCATTTAGCAGAAGAGCCCTTCATACCAACTGGTACTGGGATGAACACTCACCATCCAGGAAGTCCCCATTTAATTCATAAAGATTGTGCTTCATAGAAACATCTGCTTCTTTGAACTATATGTCAAAAACCCTGTAATTTTCAACCACCACTGGAGGTAATGTTCTCATGGGCAACCAGTGAAACTTTCTCACGACGCTGTAAAAATGAAATTACTCACGTGCACTAAAATTTAGATTGGCTGAAAGTAAAGGGAAATGTAAAGATGTTAACTGTAGTCTAATGAGAGGTTTTCCCAGTTCCTGACTCCCTCCAAAGCCAAGATTTCTCCTGTAGATAGAAGCCTCTTTGAGGAGTCCTCCCTTTGAGTCCCTCTGCACTCTGAAACAAGATGATCTTTGAAAAGGCCTGAAAATTAGGCTGGGAACAAAGAACAAACTGAGACTGGTAAAGATGCTGTTCTGTGGGACCCAGTTTGCATTCAGTGAGGCCTCTGTGACAGAAATGCTGCCTGTGGCTTCCTGCTGAAGGGAGGAGGGACAGATTTATTCATCTGACCCAGCAAATCTGCCAAGAGGCCAGAAAAAAGGAAGTCAAGGGGCAGCAAACCAATATTTGCTATGAGTAAAATTCAACAGCCAAGCACAGAGCTGAGTGAGGATAAACAATTCAGCTGTGTGTATCTGGACAACATTTGCCCTGGGAATTACTTTAGAATTTCTCTCCTGTTTTAAAGCTTCTGTTTAGCGAGAAACCTCAAGAGAAAACAGGCTGTATTCAATATTAGCATCTCTCCAACCCAGACCCCCCAACACACCTTCCTCTGGTTACACAGTAACACCCTTGGCACTATCTATCTTCACCAACAAAAGGAAGTGAGTATCTCTAAAAAAAAAAAAAGGAAATTTAATTCATCAATGTCCTTATCTGTGTTTTTTCCCCTAGATATGCATGACATGTAAAAAGAAACAGTGAAGGTACTGATAAAATAAAGTTCAGCACCAGGTAAAAAGACAGATATAAGAGTCAAATAATCAACTCCTTAAGGGCTGAGAAGTCTCAGTGACATGACATGAACCTCTTCCAGCTTTCTAATAACTGAATTTTCTTTTCTTTAAAGGGACACTAGCTATTCAACTGAAGTTAACTTGACATTGCTTCATAATTCCAAAGTCTTTCATAA